TTCTCAACCACTTTGAGAGAAAGATTCAAAGTGTGATTGCTACATGCGTGTCTAATAATTAGCACTTTGGCAACGTTAATATTGTTGTGCTGTTAAACTATTTTCGCTATTTGTGTTGTTAGTTCAAAGTTATTGTGACAAAAAGAGGCAAGTATTTAATAGTTTTTTTTCTTATAATTGTTATAAATATCAAAAGTATAATTTGATTGTTTAGTAAATCATAAACTAAATTAATATAAAGATGTATGATGACTAAAATAAATTTTTTTATTTTTATTTATTTATAAAAGTATTTTAGTACACATTTTTATTGTTTTATCTTTGTTTTTGATATTGAGGTCAACATTCATAATCTTTTTACACTAAAATTCTATAACTGTGTTTTTAATTTTTTTTATCTCAATTAAATCTAAAAATAATTGAGGGGATAAATTTATAAATTCACAAAAAAAAATAATGATAAAAAAGAATTTAACTTTTAAGCAAACTCTTAAAAAATACTTCATTTTATATAGATAAATAACACGAATAGATGGAAATTTAAGAATATTAATAAATTTGAACAATGATAACATAAATAGATGTGTAAAATCAACTCTTTCTTACTTCTAAAATTTTGCTTCTAGGTAGCAATTGTGAGAATATGTTGGAAAAAAACAGACTTTAACAAACACCATGATTGAAACTTTTTTCTGCGATATTTTCTTTCTCAAAGATTAAAATTCTATTACGAACTTTATGTTCAAATTATGAACAAAACATGCAATTAATGTAAACCGTGTTTTGATGTCCTAGTTGCGCTGAAAGTCTGCAAGGGCTCCTACGAAGACAAGTTTCTTAATACATTATCCAAGCTCATTTTTTTCCATCTCATAAAAGAGAAAAGAAAAAAAAAATCAAAGGGGCCAGCACTTACAAATCCCTATTTGATTATAACTATTCAAACTCCATATATCACGTGATCTTTTCCTTTCTGGTTTCGCTATTTTTACTATAAAATGACCCATTTATTAGCCAGTTTGATCGTATAGTATCCTAGAAAAGTACAGCAACATGCACATGAATACTGTTCAAACTTATTCCACAAATTGGTATATATCATTTCACAGTAAATATACCTCTATGGACAGCTTGTTGTTCACCAATTTGGCAGAGATCAAATTCATCGTACTACTAAAGTGAAACATACCTTTGCATAGGACTGTACAAAAAAACCGTACTACTTCTTAAGCAGTTCGGTTTCAGTTTTGGGTTGAGAGGTTCGGCTAAAAACCGAACCGACCAAAATTTTTTTTTTTTTTTACTTTCATTCTTCATTTGCTGTCATTTTTTTTCTCTCTGCTGCTAATCTACTCATAATGAATGGTTGCATTTACACACCTTAATTGGGGCAGAGTATATGTATGGAGTCTACTCTTTTGGAGAATTTTCCGTTGTAAATGCCAAGTAGGTTCAGTGTGTTGTAAATTCACAGTTATCCATTGGGTATCTTCATCCTGTAGCATATGAATCAAATCATCAATCACCAAAAACCCCATAAAATAAAAATCATAATAACATAACAACCCGTAATTGTGACTTTCAGTTTGTACTTTGGATTTTAGACATTGAATTTGGATATTTTGTGTTTGTGGTATTATCAATTTGGATGTTGTGCTTTGTATTCATTTATTGTGATTATAGGTTCGTATAGAATGAAAGTTTTATATTTTTCCACATTTTCGGTAAAAAAATGCAACTAAAGATGTTGGTAACCTGATAGTTAACTGATGGCTACCTTTATGATTATCAAAACTGAAAACCGACTGAAAACCGAAGTTCGGTTAACCGAACCAACCACTCCTTTGTGCGGTTCGGTTTCGGTGCACGGTTTTAGAAAACCGACATGGTCGGTTCGGCCACCGAACCAACCAAAACTGACGGTTAAAACCGCCGAACACCCCTACCTCTGCGTGAGATATATAATGAAAATTCAGTGCAAATTTAGTTGTCTTTAGTTTTTGCATGAAACTAAACAAAGTAATTGGTCATATTTATTTAGAGAGTTTTCTACTAGGACATCTCTACTGATAGGATCAGTTTCTCACCGTTAAATTTAGTCAAAATTATATTAAATTAAAAAATTTAAACAGAATAAACAGTTTATAATACAAATTTAACAGTTGAAAATAAAAACTTTTTAGTAGTTTATTTTTTCAAGACCTACAAAAGAAGCCTTATTTATTGAAGGATGTTTGGCAGTGGCAGAGGCAAGATAAAATTTTGGTGGGGGCATAAGGCATATTTTATAATAAATAAATAGAACAACAATAAATATAAAAAATATTACCATAGTATTTCTCAATAACTGTAAAATATATTACAATTGCCCTCGTCGAGTTTTCATATTTTGAAAGCGTTGCATAATAACTTCATTATCAATATGATCAATAATTTCTTTTTCAATGTATACAACCAAACTGTCATTCATCCATTGATCTCCTATTCAATTGTGTAGTTGATTCTTCACAATATTCATAGCAGAAAATACCCTTTCAACAGTAGCAGTAGCAACAGGTAAAATCAGTGTTAAAGTTAACAACCGATTAACCAATGAATATACCAAATTTTTTCTTGTTTCAACCATTTTTTGTGCAAGATCACTAATGCCTTTCAATTCTATGAACTCCTTACTTGAGCGCATATCAATGATATAAGTTTCAAGTTGATTATCAAGTGTCATGAGTTCTACCGTAGAAAAATCATCTTCATAATACTCAGCAAGTTGAATCAACATTTTCTTGTCAAAAGAAGAGAATAAATCAATGGGAGACAAGCACACCATATAGATAAGCAATTTAGTATTTACCTCATTGAAACGATCATTTAACTTTCGAAGTTACATATAAAATAGCTCCACACGAAAATGATGTAAATTGGTAATTTCTTGAGCTTTGCATCTTGATCTACCTCGAGGTATAAAAATATCATCCATGTTGGGAATTCTAATGTTGCTTTTTTTTTCACAAAATGAAAACACTTGATAAAAAAGAGAATCTCATCCACTCTCCCTCATCATCTGGAATTGTAATGGGTGTGGTGGGCCAGCTGTAGTACTCCAGTCCTCAAGCTGACATTTCTTGTTGGGAGAAGACAAGAAGAAAAGCAGAGTGGAGAGAAAAAAGATAAATAGGGGGGTTTTTAATATAGCATGTGTGGGGGCAAAATAAAAAAATCAAATAAAAAGTACTATTTTTAAAAAATTATATTAAAAAAATTTATACATAACTTCCGTGGGGGCACGTGCCCCCACTTGCCATGTTTGGTAAGATCTATCTAGTCTAGTCCAAATTATTAAGTGTCAAAAGAAAAAATGTTTAGGGTCAAAAATTTGTGTTGCATAGCTTTTTAATTAGAGACGCAAGAATAGGCCGGCTTCGGCCCGACTTGGCCTAAGCCATTCTCTTTTGGCCCATGCGGGCATGGGCCAGGCTGACCAATCTATTATTTTGGTGGGTCATGCCGGCCTTGCCCATGAAAGACCAACACTAAGTCCAGTCTGTCCTACGGGCTAATTTTTCGTGGGTCAGTTCGGGTTGTGCCATGGGCTAGCCTATGTATGATGATAGATTAGCCCATCATGGGTTTAGATGGACTAGCCCATCTTTGTATACATTTTGTTAATTATTTTATTAATTTTTAAAAAATATTTGTTTTTGAATTTCTAAACAAGTTAACAAAAATAAAAATCTAAATAGTTTGAAAATTAGAAAACAGAAATTTTTTTTTTTCTGAAAATTAGAAAACAAAAATTTTATTTGTGTCTGTCATATTAAAAACTTTTTCAAGGAGAACTCAAAGGAACAAAATTTAGGTAAGGATAAAAGAATATAATTAAGATAATTGCACACAAAACCTAAAATAATATTTTAACACCCTAATCAATATTATATTTGAGGTTTTTAGTACAATTGCCCATCGAACTTTGTCGCGGTTTAAAAAATTACCCTTTAAACTGTTAATTTTGACAATGAATCTCTCGAACTTATAAAATTGCTTCAATGTGCCCTATTTTACTAAATCTACTCAAATTTTCTATTAGATTTAAGGAATTAAAAGTTGATGAATTAAAAGATTTGTGTTACATTTGAATCATGAAGTTAGAATTTGAACTAGCAAGATTAACATTTAAATATTATAATGTTTTTTTTTTTTTTTTGGTTGGTGGTCTCCTCTCTTGTTATCGTGCTAAATGAAGAAAGTGATCTAACACATTAAAATATCATACGTGGATTTAACTAAATGTTTATGAAGTTATACGTATTTTTATTCTACCAGATTATTAATAATTGATAACTAGATTTTCAAGCACCTTATTTTGTCAATCTGTTATCTCCAGGTATCTTATGGTGGTGTCATTTACATTTAACAATTAGACGCTCTAACTTTTTACAATGGAGAACAATAAAATTGCAAAAAATAAATAAATATCCTCACACTAGATTTATAATGGTTGAATCTTCAAATGAGAATTACGTCCATTTTCATCCACTCCAAACGATTACAAGAGAATCACACACCTCTAAAGCTCATATTGTTTTCTCTATTCACGTACAAACAGGCACAGCTAACTTTACATCAGAGCAATAATTAGGCTCCACACCCCAAATAATTTGGGCACTAAGTTATGTAACACTACTCCAGCTAGTTTGTCAACAATATGTTTTCAGTCCTTTTACTAGTAATATCGTTTTGTGTTTGTGTATGTGGGATTCTAAAGAATTAGTAGCATCATTATTGTCAATTTGAGAGGAAAAAAAAAGGATATAGTAGGCTGGTAATTTACCGATGAACATTATAGTAAAGATCGGCACTAAGCCTTAATTATTTACAATAATGGAAGTAATATCCAAGTTGATGGCTATACTGGTTTACAAGTTAACCGTGTAATTCATTTATCAGTAGATCAATATCATACATATGCAAACAGCAAAAACGGAAGTATCAAATAATTTTCTTGGAGATGATTTCTATACAAGGAGTTCATGAACATTAAATCTGCAACGTTTACATGCCATTCTACAGAATTATACGTATGATCCACTTAGTGTAACTTGACATTTTTTTAGGAATGAATAGTAAGTAGTTATAAAGAAACAAATGACAAAGAAGTAATGAAGAAAGACTACTGGGGAAGGAAAATGCTCCCATAATAGAGAACACTGCAAAAATGTTTAACTAATGAACCAATGTACATATCTACTGCAACATAGTGATACGAAATTTGATACTTAAACGAGTATAAATCAAGCTTCACTGTGCCTTGATACAACAAGAATTTCTACTAATGAAGTCCGGGAAGAAGAGATGTTGACGATTTTGAGTAGCGCTCGATGAGTGCCAAGATTTTGGCAGCCTTCCTATTGAGATGGCTATCTCCATGAATATTCCCACTAGTAAGGCCAACAAGACGAAATCTGGCCGCCGATCCACACTTTTCCACCATTTCCTTCGACCTGAAAACATTTTCTAGAAGTCCCAGAGCCTCTTCCTTGAGAGGTTTAGTTCCCCAATTCAAGATCTCTATTATGGGGCTTATGGCATTGTTCTCATGCAGAACATTGGCCCCTTTTTGAGGAAAGTTTTCATTAACCAGCGTGGAAAGTGCTTGAATTGCCTCATAAGCCGTTTCATGAACCTCTTCATGCAAAATTTTTACCAAATCAGGCAAAGCATTTGCCTCCAATAGGCAAAATGAATATTTTACACTACAGGTACCTCCATGTGCTGGACATGAAGGAACGCCAGATAGCCAAAAACACCGACAAAAACCTGACTTAGGTTTGACAGAGAGCTCCGGAGTGCTAGCGGAAAGATTGCCTATCAAAGCTGCAGCTCTTGCTTTAGCTGGTACAGAACTGACCCTGAGAAACTTTACAAGCAAAGGGTACACATCTGCTTCCACTATAATGCGCTGTGACTTGGGATTTTCAGGATCTGTGAACCTAAAGAGGGCACTGAGTGCATTTTCTTTGGCTTCCATGGACCCACTTCTCAAAATGTTTATGAGTGCAGTATGCCCCTCCAACTCTATTAACTTCATGGTCAATGGCTTCTCTGATTTTGGTAGGTTGGCCAATACTCCAGCAGCAGCCATTTTTACATCATCCTTACCATCAATCTGGAGAAACCCCACTAAAGCTTCCAGCCTTCTTGGCTTGTTAAGGTATTCCACAACTCCATCAGGCTCGTGCTGGGAGAAAAGGAAGAGCAACTTTATGGCAATCTCCCGAATCTCCGAGTCAGAGTCATCAAGTAGGGGAAGAACCAGAGACAAACCCTTGATTGTAAGAACCGCTTTTTTCACCAATCCTGCTTCAAACTTGCAAATCCCAAGAAGCAACCGCAGGGCTGGCCTGCGAAAATTGTGAGCACAGTTGGTATTCTGCAGTAACGCTGTCAAATTGGTGACAATCGACCCTAAATCAAGTTGCGCTCCTCTTTCATCAACGAAGTATTCAATCGCATTGTCATCATCAGAAGCAAGTTTCTCAAGGATTTCACAACACTTGCAAACAATAATTGAGCGCGTATGGGGAGAAAACATTAGATTTATAACGAAATGAACCCCACCAGCTGCAGCAATAAGCTTTTTATTAGCATTATAACCTGATAACTTTACCAATGCTGACAAGGACAATTCTTTTGCCTCAATACTGCCAGCTGCCATCTCAATCAAAGGAAGTATTACTCCTTCTTCCCCGAGGAGCTTCAAATTAGAGTCTACCAACTCCATGTTGACAATTGTTTTCACCATTGATATCCTTGAAGGCTCTGGCCCTGAAAATAATAAGAACGAGCAAACTATCATCTTTATATTTTACAACAACATATAGCCAGTAGTCTCCATAATTGTAGTATCGGTGTGTGCTTTCCATGGGGGGCCAGGGACATGGGATATCGCGTATTATGCAACTATTAAACACTAAAGAACGAGACATATTTTCTCTAAAATACGGACAAGTAGGGAAAAGCGAATGGAATTTCTGAAGATTATAAAACAAAATCCATCACTACATCTTTCTTAGGATTATATATTTTCACTACTACTGTCTAACTTGTTGTGACACAAATTGATTTATTTGCAATAAAGCAAGGACATTGCTTGATTAGAAATCACAATATTATATCATAAAAAAACCAAATAAGCAAGAAAAGGACGTTAAAGCAGCTCTTAAGGATCGAATTTTGCAGATAGCATAACACAAAATAAATAAATAAATAAAAGCATAATAATAATAATAATTAAAAATAAGAAAATGACCTACTGATGATCAATGTTTCTGAATCATTAAAATTACATGAGATTCATTTCTGAACTATCAGATATTAGTCTTCATGAATATATGGATTCTGTTACAATCTGACATATAGAAGCATTCATTGCCGTAGGAAGTTCCCTAGAGGGTAAGTACAGTAAAAGATCCTTACAATCTACTAATTTAAGCTAGATGAAAGCGTTAATGTTCATATTTTCTACAGACGAAAAATAGAAAGGAAATACATGTTATGTCAGCCTTTAACGGAGAAAATTCCTCTTACCGTGAACTATGCAATCAATAAGTGGTTTATACCAACCAGCTTTAGCTGCACGAGAAATATTCTCTTCATCAATTTCAAGAAGCTTCAGCAAGATCTTTTCTGCAATCTCAGCTGATTCTTCCACAGAACCTTTTAAGAGGATGACAAGAAAAACAATAGCACTGGTCTGTTGAGAGAGTTTCCTACAGACAGAGACATTCCAACCAGACCTGTCTTGCAATAATTCAAAAAGCAATTCGATAGCCGCCTTTGAGATAATTGAGTCGCGCCCTAAGCAGCCAATGATGTGATCCCACCCCTGAGACTCGATGATTTGGTCCTTGAGAAATAAAATTCCAAAAGGCCGAATTAGAATGTCATGAATCATTTAATACTTATTCTCACAATCACAAGAAAAATTCAGATACTCAAGTATTGCAGGTTCGAATGAGCTTCGGTGAAGGTTTAGAAATACACAAAAATGGTGAATGACAACCTCAAAATAGAAGTATAGCTAGATTTAAAAGCTATAATAGAAATAAGTATTCCAAAAAATAAAAATAAAAAATTCATATTCACATATGTTGTTGCCTGCAAACTTCACATTGATAAAGGTAACTTAATTATTGTAGGAGCAATACATTTAAGGTCAAAGAATATTATATTATAAACAAAGAGTAACTTTACCCCAGTTTGCAAGGAAGGATTGTATCAAGGGCAAGAAAAGGCATATATATATATATATATATATATATATATATATATGAAAATGGGATGAATTAAAATTGATCTTTCTATCTCATTCTTTATATGCATGGAGTTGAAATATATGCTTACCTTGTTTCTTGTATGACCTTCCACAAAATCATTTAAGGTGATCAAAATTTTCCTCTTCACATTTCTGTTGTGTGAATCCCCAAGGATAGAGATTATCATGTAAGGGAGTTCTTCAATGGAAATCCAGTCCTTGTTAATAGAATCCTCTCTGATAAGATCTTGAATTTGACTTAGGGCCTCTTGGATGGATGTATCAACACCTGAAGACAACTTCACCCTGGAAGATCTGATCTTGAGGCAATAATTTAGTTCTCTCCACTCTTCTATCGATTGTCTCAGTGGAAGGTTTGGCCACAAAGAAGTATCTTCAAGAACCTCACGAGTATCTGGGTCAGTTCTCTCCCCACTTTCGAACCGAGCTGCAATGGCAGCTCTCTCACATGTAGTACCGGTGCAAAGGCTGACAGGATCTACCATCACAGTTCCATTTATGCAACAAAGAAAAGACTTAAGTGGTTGAATGTATTCTTCCCTCGAGCTATATCTCTCTATGGCCTGAACCCGTTGATTATATCGCCTTTTAACCTCTTCATAATCCCTCGCTGCATCAGCTCGTGAGAGAAGCTCAATGACCTGCTCTAAGAAGAAAACTTCAGCCCAAACTTTCCTATTGGCAACCTCTTCTTTTTCTCTCCTGAAATCTGCGAGCTCTTTGCTTATCTCCGAGGGCACAATGAGCACCCCAACCGCCCTTGCTATCTGTTCGAGCATGTCATTTGCGAAAGCTTGGTCGAGTTTCTGGTCCCTAAGACCCTGATTAAGCTTGTCAACAATTTGGAGTTGAGAATCCGAAGTCTCGAACTCCACTCTTTGCATTTCATTCTGCAGCCTATTGACTTGATCAGATATTCTTGAAAGGATTTCTGTATTCGCAAGAGATAAAGAAGCCAGAGACCTTCCAATATCCCTCGTGACGTCTTGTACTTCTTTAACAATGTGCCGGCACTTGATAAGCATGTAGAAACGAGATCGGTTTTTGTACTTCTCAACCAGGTTGTTGGCCTTCTTAACATCCGCTTCCAGGGACTCTAAAGCAAGCCTTGCAGCCTGAGAATCATTCAATTCTTGAAGCTGCAGTTCCTTTAAAACAGGTTCAATGTCAAACAAGTGCGTCGATAGGACCTTGAAACTCTCTTTCTCGAAAACAACATCTATTGCAGCTTGAGCTGTTCTGAAAACCTGGTTTGTTAGGACAGCCAAGATTGTCCCTATGGGTATAAGTTCCAATGCCATATTTAACAAGTCTTTGCTAAATCCACTTTCATAAAGAGATTATAATTAATTAACATATCAATAACTATATCCACAGGGCATATTCTTCTCCCTCCTTTCCTGCTCAATTGACTTGTAACATTTCACTCCTCTTCTGGAGCATTACCCATTTAGAATATCAACCTTATAAAGCAATAAAAACAAATTAATAAAACAAAAAAAAAAAGGTGAGTAAAAACTAACTGTAAAAATATAAAGCAAGACGTGAAGATAATGGTGCAGCAGAAGAGTGCGTTTCGAAACGAAACAAAGAACACAAAAAATAAGTGATATCACCTAAGTATGAAATTTTATTGATGAGAGATGATCATATAATAATATGATTACACTCATTACTATAGGACTCTTATGAAATTAAAGACAATACTGAAATCATAAAATATTTATAAAACGAAATTAGTCGAAATTAGGAAACTTTGTTGTTGCTGCTGAATTAGGAAACTTTGTTCTTGCTGGCTAATTAACTTTTTCTACATCAGATAAGAATCTAGGACCGCCAAAAAAACAAGGAAATCTATATTATGTCCATATAGAAACAAACACAGACGGACTAAGAACAAATAGCATAATTGAAAAGAAACATTATTTTATGGGCCTAATTAACAGAAAAATAATGTAAAATGCGGGGAAAAAAATTAAACAAATATTGAACTCCCTTGACCTTACTGAAAGCTTTCATCACAAGATGGGATGATAAAATAACAATAAAGAACACGAATTCATGGAGAAAAAACAAGTTTTTGACAGATTTTTCAACCAAAAAAGAAAATATCAAGAGCTCATGTTAATTCAACCGATCAAAGAAAAGAAACTCACTCAGCAAAAGCTTTTTCTTTTTCCACTTACTGAAGGATAATTTGACAAGAAGCGAAAGGAAAAAAAAAAAAAAAGTTTCTCAGAGAACAAACAAACAGGAAAATGAGAGAGAAGTTCACAGAAACAGAGAAGAACATTTAGTACCGGGGAGTGAGGAAGTCAATATTGGTTTTTTTCCTCTTCTTTGGATTATATATGTAATTAAGCATCATCAGCGGTTTATAAGCCTCCATCTATTGGTTGCTCCGCGGAAGAGACGACTTGAGAAAGTCAAGGTTTTCCCGGGAAAATCCGACAGAAATTTCGGAGTCTGTATTAATTAATAACTAATTATATGATACATTTTTTGACATGTCAAATGAGTTGTTTATAAGTTATATCCGCATAAAATTAAATAAAAATTAAAAAATAAATAAATTTAATGGTTAAAAATATTTGTGTTAATATACATTAGATATATTATAAAATTTCTTTAATTATATAAATAAAGTTAATCATGTGCGCTTTAGATAATTAAGGATTAAGAAAGAGAGAGAGTCTGGAACCCCGCCTGATTTTTTTCTCTCTTAATTAAAGGTTAAGAGAGAGGAAATTTGGTGTCATTAGATTTACATCAGAAATTATTTATTTTACATGTCTTTTTAATTTGATATGATTTTGACAAAATTTAAAGTAAGAAATTGACACTATGAGTAGAGATACTTACTAGAGAAAGTCTTTTTTTCTTAGGAAATTTTTTGATAGGACAAGAAATTTTTATTGGTATTTTTTTTTTCATTTATGTATTAGAACTACGTGCTATATTTAATCTATTGCGATTCTTTGTTTTTTTTTTAACAACTCAAATCACAACTCAAATTTTATTATTATAATATTTTATCTTATAAAAATTTAAATTAATTTTTTTACTACAATATGATATCTATAACTTAAATTCTTAATTTGAATTGTGCACCAACTTACTCTAAAAATTACTTTTCAAGAATGATGAGAAGCGTGACAGTTATTTACTGGTTTCAAATTCTTGAATTATGTTAGAAGCGTTGGAATTGTCCTGTTCTTTGCTCCCCATCCGGCAATGTATAGGCCGTTATTTATAGTATAATTTCATTGGTCATATTAAAAAATATGCCCCGTTCATTTCGTCGATTCGAGTTTAGAATTCGAGTTTTGTTACAGTAAAAAGCTCTCAGAAACAATCGCATCTAACTTTTTTACTACAGTAAAAAGCTCTCACATAACGTCACATCTCAACTCAAATTAAAAACTCGAATTAACGAAGTAAACGGGCCCACATATTTTATAAAAGTCAAAATTGTAAGTATTGTAATTAATCTAATTATTATAATATAAACATGGAAACCGTTATAATAATAATAATGTAATTTAGTGTTAGGAGGACTAATCTATATGGTTGGTATACCACTAAATGGGGCCCGATCAGTTCACTAATTTGAGTTGAGATGTGATGTTGTGTAAGAGTTTTTTTACTGTAGCAAAAAAGTTAGATGTGACTATTTCTGAGAGCTTTTTACTATAACAAAACTCAAATCAGTGAAAATAACGGGACCTCAGTGAAAAAAATTTGAAATCTAATACTACAGGCTGAGTATTACTTTTAAAGTCTAATTATTCACCCATACCATTATTAGAAATGGACTTATTACACTCACACCCTTGTGTTATACTAAAATTACAGAGACATCCACTTGACAAAAATTAATAACGTTAACACTCCCTGAGACTGTTCAAAAAAATTGTAAAGACACCCCCTCTATTAGTTGACCATGACTGTTGACCCATGTTTGACCGTTAATTTTTTATAAAATGTCAAGAATGCCCCTGCATGCATCAGAAAATATTTTTTGCTATTTATATAGTGCTTAAAATGATGTTTTTACTCTTATTTAGGATCAAAGCATGAGTTTTATACCCATAATTTCTTTTCACTCTAATGAAAATAATTTTTTTCTTAATCTTTTTAAATATTTGGTGCATTATTAAATTAAATATAAATAGTTAAATGTTAATTTAATTAAACTAATAATGCGAAAGAACAATCCATCCTAATAATAACTTAGGGGTAGTGTTGTCAAACGTGCCGTGCCGGGCCGGCACGGCACGCTTGATCCCAGGCCCATCACGGGCCTGGGCCGTGCCAGGCACGGCCCTGCACAGTGCAGGGCTGTGTCTGGGCCGGGCCTGAGAAGAAAAACTCAGGCCCGGTCCATAAGGGCCAGGGCCGGGCCTAGGCCCAGGCCCTTCACGGGCTTGCCCTGGCCCTTGTATTTTTTTTAAATTGAATTAAAAAAAATATCAAATGCCCCCAAAAGATGTGATTTTATTGAATTGACGTAATAGGAGTACACATAAATGACTGCCTCGTTAAAAACCTTGCTAAGTAAAACCCGTGGGGAGATCGGGACAAAACCTTAGCGAAGAAAAAAAGAGTGCAGTAGCTAGGAATAGTAAATTACAAACCTAAGTGCTTCTAGCAGATTCTATTATTTTTAAGTTAGAAAAATATTCTTGCATCGAATCATCTGTGTATTGTTGTTTTCGTCTTCTGGCATCTTCTCAGTCTTTAACGCACATTAGTCCCTCCAAGATAGCTGGATGCATTATGCTTCTCTTCTCGTCAAGAATTCGGTTGCTTGCGCTAAAAGCTTGCTCCGATGAAACGATATGTCTTGCTCTTCCACCACTGTAAGATGTCTAGTTTGTCGTCATCGATTACAAAATTTGCTTCAAAATATTTGACTAGTTCCGTAGACACTTGTGTTGAGGACGATCCTGCCATTTTCTCTTTCTTCTTCAAGAAACTCCACGACGATCCTTTAGGCCCCGAAATGATAGTTGACAACGAAGTTCCCTATTCTTTTTTACCTGTGCTATATTTTGCTTCATACAAACTAAAAACTTTTTCTAACATTTTCTTAGCGTCAGTAATACTTAGTTGCATATCTATTTTTAAATTCTCTGCGGTAGCAGTCATCAATGATTCAGTTCCATCTACTCCGCACCTAGGATCTAAAATGGTTGCCAATGCATATAACATAGGACAACCTGACCAATAACTTTTAAATTTATTTTCCATTAAGTTAACTATATTTCTAAAAAGTTGTGTATCCCTATAATAAGAAAATGTTTCTGAAATATTAAATAGTTGATGTAAAGCTAAATGTGCAGTAGGATAATAAACTCCAGAAAGTAATTCAGTGCATTGTAAAAAACTTCTAAAAATTTAAAAAATACTCAGCAATCTGCCAATCAGGATCGAGAATTAAAATTCGATCGTTCTTACTGTTTATGTATGTCGTGATAAGCTGTGAATACGGGAGTGCTGCCTTTAACATTAAATATATTGAATTCCACCTATACTAAATTGATTATGTGACATGCACACCGTTGATGAAAAATTTCCCCTCCAAATGTCGGTTTCAAACTACGTTTAAACAGATTAATTGCAGCTGTATTAGCTGACACATTATCAAAAGTAATTGTTAAAACTTTATCTTCTATCCCATAAAACCTAAAAATTTTCATTATTGTACTGAAAATAGCTGTTGCGTTATGAGGATATGGACATAAACGAAAAGCAATTATTTTTTTTTGTAAAACCCAATCGTCATCAACGTAGTGCGCTGTGACACATAAATATCTAATTTTATTACACCCCTCCCACAGATCAGAAGTGCAAGACACAATAACATTAAAAGTCCTAAAATTATCAACAAGAGATTGTCTCATTGCATAAAAAACTTTCATGCAATCAGAACGAGTTGTGTTTCTACTTACCCGTTTAAATTGTGGGCAAAAGGTTGTCTGGATGAATTCTTCGAAGGAGGCATCATCTGCAAAAAAAAAGAGGCAATTCGGCACTAGCTAGAAATTTAGCTAGTGCATCACGAGCACGTTGTGCATTGTATGTAAAATTTTATAACCCATGTGATGTGAGTGATAGTGTTTGTTGGCGGGAGTCCACACTCTCCCCTTGGTGCAACGGTAGACATATTTTCCAATGTCTATCTAGATGACCAGTACCCCCACCCTTTAGATTAGAAAAGTGATTTTTACAATATTTACATACCGTACAAATTTCCATCTCACCTGTTTTTGGATTTGGTCGGGGATCTTCAGTGAAATGCTACCATGCCGGAGAAATTCGCGGTCTTTTTCCTCTGCTGTGTTCTCCAGCTTCTTCATTGTATACTAAAGCATTATCCACCGGAGCATTTTTTGGTTCAGTGGGGGTGGGGTTGGAAGGCATCATTTCTTCCTCAAAAAATGTCTCCTCACCAAGCTCAGGAAAAGCAGTAAAATTAGGGAAATTTGGTGAGGCCATTTTCTGAAAATTGATAGAACTTGATTGAACTTTGTAAATGAAAGAGCTAGAAAATGAATGAACACGAGAAAAAAGCTTACAATCAAAATCAAAGAGACAAATTGAGAGGTAGAATAAGAGTGAGATGAGAATATGAGAGTGAATTATTGTGTGGGATTTATGGTGGAATTAAAGGGTATTTATAGGGGATTTTTTGGTTAAAATTCAGTTTTTTTCCGTTGGGAGGCACGTGACGGGCCAAATGGGAGGCCCGTCACGTGCCGAACGTTAGGCCCGCGAAGGGCCCACCGGACCAAATGAAATGGGCTTCTTCGTGGGCCGTTTCGTGGGCTTGGGCCGGGCCGAATAAGGGCCGTGCCGCGGGCGTGCTTGGGCCGCGGGCTGAGAAGTTGAGGCCCAACCCTAGTCCATTACACGTGCCGTGCCGGCACGGCCCGTAATAGTAACGAACCGGGCCGTGCCGAATCAGGCACTATTACGGGCTAGGCCGGGCTGTCTATAGACGGCCCGGCCCATTTGACACCTCTACTTAGAAGGCGTTTGGTATGTGGGAATTAATAGGAATCATATATCCAGAAAAGTGATGGAGGGTAATATGATTCCTAGGAATAATACATTACTGTGTTTGGTACCATACATGAATCTTTTTTAAATTTTCAGAAATATTACATTACTGTGTTTGGATGTTTGCATGAAAGAAGATCCATAATATTAATAAAAATAATAATAATAATATTATTAATAAAATAATAATAATAAAATAATCATATTATTAATAACAAAACCGAAAGATTAAAAAATTTAAAATTAAATTTAAAAATAGTAATTGCAAAAAATTATAATACTAATTGAAATTGAACACTTTTTTTTAAGCATTAAAAATTGAAATTGAACACTTTTTTTCAAGCATTGAAATTAAACTCGTTAAACTCCTCCCAACTTTTTCGAAAAAAAGGGTCAGATCTCGGCCAACTTCGACGGCACGGTGACGGCGACCTTGCCGAAGGTGGCGCGGTGCAGATCTCGAGGTGCATGGGAGCAGGCTGACGGATCTCCGCAGTTGGCGTAATGTAGATCTTGTACACGGGTTGGGCGGGCTTGGGGGCAGCGACCTCACGTGCCGGAGCTTGGGGCGGGGGTGGGCTTGATGATGACTGGCGCACTAAAGGGGGCAGATCTCTATGGTGGAGCACTGATAAAGAGGGGCCGATGGGGTGAGGAGGCCTTCTGTTGGGAGGCTGACATTGGGCGCTGTTTGGGCGACGGGAAGGCCGAGGGTGCGCTTTTGGCGGCACAGAGGCCGACGAGAACGCCGGCGAGGAAGCCGATGGGGGGCGGCGTTGGCTGTTTTGGAGTTGAGGTGTGGGGAGGAATATTGAATTAGGGTTTTCTGTAAAGAACTAATGGGTTGTTCTTTTAGAGTGTAATTTGAGTGTAATTTTTAAGTTGAATTTGAGTTATAACTTGAGTTGAAGTTGTAACTTGAATAAAGTTGAGTAAAGTTGAATAAAGTTGAAACTTAAAAAAACGTGAATTTAAATAAAATTGGAACTCGAGTTATCTTTTTTTGAATTTTTTGGCAAAAGAACATGCCCTAAATGAATGGTTAGGATTTAGTGGTGTTGAATTAAAATATATGGGTTATTTTGGTCATTTTCTATCTAAATTTAACAGAGTTAAATACAGGTGGTGTTGATATTATTTGAGTGTCTCTTTATTTTGGTATAACATAGAGGGTGTGAGTGTAATAAACCCTATAGAAATTATGTAAGTGAATAATTGACCTCATAAGTCTTACAACCCTAATTTATAGAGAAAATTGTAAAATTTACCTTTAAAAATGTATAAATATACACTTTTACCCTTTATAAATATTTTTTATTAGTGTAACTATTTAATTATAAAAGTTATAAATTAAGAGTAAATAATAAAAATTTTGACAAATACATTTTTAAGAATATTTGTCAAGATTACTTTAATTTATACAACTTTATACGACTCAAACTATAAGACCCAGAAACGTTTCATTACTATAGATCTAACGTAGTATGGACAACAATGAGTGAGAGCAAACAATAGAGTGAAAATCCTGAGCAAATTGTGCATCATTTTTTCACAAGCAGCCGTATCCTATTCCTTAAATTTTGGTGGAGCAAAAACAGGATTAACTGCTATAAATTCCTAAACAATCTAGAAACCCACAATAACAATGCTGACATTATTAAATTAAAGAAAGAGTCTACAGAATAGAAGAGTTGTTCTACTTATTCATTAGCCTCACAAATCACAAGAATAGAAGAACACATCTTCTCTTGGCATAAAGTTTAAAATATAAAAATAAATGGGAAAAAACTCCAAGATGTGACATTATTTGAATCAAACAAATCTGCCATTCTTTCTTATGGTTCATGGATTCAGAACCATTATCGGTTTACGTGTGTTTTTTATGAGAGAAAATACTGTAGTGAACCACGAACCATGATCCGAATTATGACACGAATCCTTACTCCAAACACACCCTTAGTAAACATAACTTACATCGTATATATGTTGACTTTTTTACTAATATAAATACAACTGCATAACTACAGTAGCCACAAGCCAGTGCAACACCAGCAAAGCATCAACGTTCATTTCTCTTGCGAGCTAGTTCACGTGCCATCTCCCTTAGCTCCTCCGGCGAAGGAGGTCTTGGTGCCTCTGGAGGATACACTACATAAGAACGCTGCATGCCGAAAGAAAGCAATATAGAAGATTTCAGATAAAATTGGAATTGCTTTAGAGTAAGAGAAAAATGAAGTAAAATGAACATATAAACAGACATAATCTTTGGATTAGCCAATATACGAAGAGATCCGAGAGATATTTCTACGCCTAACATATAAACAAACACGTTCAAGCCAAATAGGTTTTACTGTTGCGCTTCTAATTTCTAAACCATATCTCCGATAAGTGACATTGCAACAAGGAATGCTTCTTCTATCTAATAAAGGCATGTAATCCTAAAGTATAATCTACATGTAATCTTCAAAAATGAGCTCCAAAAGCTGTAAAGATCTATAGGAGATTTATCCTTGTGAAGTACAACGTAGTTATACAGCAGGTTATTTGCCCAACACAAACCTTACTAAGCTACAAAAATTGGCTCCAAAATTCACACCCTCGATTTGTAGACAAGCTTCTCCTATGCAGCATCCGCGTAGTATAAGTATTTGGTATACCGAATTTTGCACGGCTAACTAACAGTAAGTGACTTCATTTACCCAAAATTAGACATACGCCTGACTCCAAGCATAAGCACCAAAATATTTAACTGGGTTAAAGGCTTTCCAGTTATCTCTCACCTAATGCCCCGTAAAAAAGAATTTTTATCCTCTACCAAAGTAAAGAAAAGAGGAAGGAAAAATCAATAGAGAGAGCTCAAAGGATACATATCTCAATTTGTGAAAATCAAACCTAATCAAAGTTATTCAAAAAATGATATGTTCATCTGGTATCAATATAGTTGGGCCTCATAAAGTAACCTGCCTAGTCAAACTTATAAAGAACTTGAAAAGAGAATAATGCGATTGCGAGAATAATGCTCACCATAAACCATCTAGGACACAGAAAAAGGTAACCAAAAATAAAAATTGAAGTATCGCTGCTTTATTTAACATCTTAGGGGGTGTTCAGGAGATGTGATTCTGATTTTACTACAGTGTTTTTCATCTCACAAAGAATTTGTATTAAAAAATTTCTTCTCTTATAAAATTCCCGCCAATTAATCAGAAATACTGACTTGAACGCGTGAACCAAACGGACTTGAGATCTTATGTAAAAGATGGGCTCAACACAGTACCATAAACTGGATTACAAAATATAGATAACAACCAAAGGAAAAAATTTATAAAAAAAAAAAAATCATAGTATCATACAAATACAATAATATGTGGATGTTTATGCTGTGACTTTTATTTAAAGAGCCATGGGAAAATGTTTATGGATTTTAATTTTATTACCTGATCAACTTAGGTTTAACACGCAAACAAAATGAGACAAAAGACCATATAAAGGCTGCCAATTTGGTCACTGAAAAAGAGCTATTTGATTTCTTTTATGCCCCATTAAACACAATCCCCAATCTAATATCAAGCACAACAAATTACAAATTTCCAGCACTCGAAATAAAAAATCATACTTCTTCGTTAATTCTTTCCCTATATTTCGCAACTCAATAAAGCAATCTCGCCATCTTTTTTCCAATAATCTACAGCCATTTCCAATAAATTTGACGTAAATTCAGGGATTCCATAAACGTAGAGAGAGAAAGAAGGAGATTTTACATTTCCCATGAATTTCTGGAGATTTTCTCTGTTGTTGGCGAAAGTGTACATGAGAACGATCGGAATAGTAACGTAGAGGCCGAACTTGGCGATCTCCAGAATTCCCTTCGAAGTTCCCAGCGATGACATTTCCCCGGAAAATTTATACGAAAATGAAAAATCCCAGAAAAAATATCACTGAGAAATTATCCTAAAATAAACCCTAGAAAAATCTCGTCATAAGAATTGGGTTTTTTTTTGCGTGGATAGGTACCTGGATACGTGGGAGTTCCAATTCGCAACTAGACTGCGAGAGTGTAACGAGTCTAAATAGTGGGCCGCGTGAGTTTGGACCCATTATAAATCTAGGCTAACTTATTAAATATATTTTAAAAGTATATGAATTAAAATTTTTACCGTTTATTTTTTATTCATAACATTTTAATTAAATAATTATATTAATAAAAGAATATTTATTAAAACTAAAAAATAAAAACCTGAAAAATAAATTCTCTATTTTTTTTTATAAACTATCTATCTTGCACTAATCTGTTTTCAAGCTTTGGGCCCAAGTTACACTAGCAAGTGGGATGACATTTTTTGGGCAAAAATGAGATAAATACGCTTTTAATTTTTTTTAAAAATTACTGAACTTATCTTTAGACATATGAACACAGATTTTTATCCCTTATTAATTAATACCTTTAGTAAAAGAATTATATTAATCAAAATCGTATTAATTAAAAATAAAAGATAAAAATTTAAATTTATAGAGGTACGTTCACTAATTTTCTCAATTCCTCTGGTGTTAATTAGGCCCACCATCACTTCAAAAAGTTTTATAAATTTTAGTTCTTTGATACATGCACATTCATGAGATATTATTTTAATCTATTTCATTTAGTGAATAACTTGTTTATTCTTTTTTTTTTTGGATAATTTACATGTTTATTTTAGTAAACCAGTAGAAAGGGAAAAAAAATCTCACATAAAAAGTTAAAAGTAAATTGCTCGTCTGCTTTTAAGTAAACAAATGATTTAAAGGAACAACATCTCCAACAATACAAAATTAAACGTCGTTAAAAAAAAAGTAATTTATTGGGAGAAAAAGATAAATACTCTCTTAAAGTGAGTGAAATTTTATCTTTTACTCGTGATTAATATCATTTTTAGTCACATACTATATTAGTCAAAAGGGTATTAATCAAGACTAAAAGGCTAAAATTTAGACTCATGCACTCTAAGAGCCCGTTTGGTTGGAGGATTCGTTTTCTGATTCGAATTATGATTAAAGTGAGTCTGAAATTTTATCTTTTACTCGTGATTAATATCATTTTTAGTCACATACTATATTAGTCAAAAGGGTATTAATCAAGACTAAAAGGCTAAAATTTAGACTCATGCACTCGTAAATCAACAATTTTCTCTAATTTATCGCACAAATGCAAAATTAAAGTAAACCATTGTTCCACTTTTAAGTAAACTAGTGGTTAAAAGAAATTTATCCACACAAACACAAATCTCTTTAGCGAGATTCATAGTGTCACCACCATGGCAATGGGAGGGTGGGGATTGTGTACGACATCGTGGAAGGGAGTTCTGATTGCTCCAATGGCTGCAACGCAAAGAGATCTCGACATGTCGTTTAACTGTGGCGTCTCCTTCTGGAGCAATCTTGTTATATCAGCGGGATAGCCATAGCCTCGCGCAAGAAAGATATCATCATAGTGGCAGAGCGTGAAGAGAGAATCGGCGTGGGTGATGTTATCTTGTGTAAGTTTGGTTTATGGTGTTGTACTTTTTGATATATTAGTAGTTTATGTTTTCGTATACCAATGGCTTACTATTGGTATGTTAATAGTTTATTTTTCTCTCTCAAATGGGGTTTGACCACCAACAACATCACAACACAGTCAAATCGAGGCATATGAGAGAGAAGACGTAGGTGGAGGAAGAGGAGAATGAAAGGTTCGAGATAAGAGAGAGGAGGGGATAGAATCCAGAAAAGGAGACGAGAGTAAGGGACCTTTTTTTAATCAAAAGTGGTGTTTATCAACAAAAATAAAGAGCTCGTAAATTTCAAAATTTCAAAAACCATGATGAATAATGGTTTTGGATAGAATTTTGTCTAGTGCTCAATGAAGGTAATATTTTTGGATGTTGAAATTCAAAAATGATTTTTTTTTATTACATTTGGCCAATTTCAGAATATAAATCACCAAATTAACTTTATTTAATAATAACATTAATGATGAAGCTCATATTAGGAAAAAAGTCAGGTGACAATTGGAAATCATATTTTTAGCTCGAAGATAATTATTGTAGAACACAAGTCAAATTATATTCTTAGAAATTACTATTTTTACAATTAAGAAAGTTTCATTTTTGTAATAATTTGGTCTAAGAAAGTCAGTTTCATTTTGGCTTATTCTTTGGTCAAATATAAGGGCTCGTTTGGCATTGCCTTTAGAGATTGGTTTTAGCTTTTTTAAAGAAGCTACAACAAGTTGGGGTGTTTAGTAAATCATGTTTTTGTCCAACAACAAAATTTGAAAAGCAAGTTACAGGTTACTTTTACTGCCATTATTCAGATTTATTAAGATAACCTTAATAATAAAACTTAATTCTCAATGTACCTATTTTACTTTTTTCATACCAAATTAAAAAATATATATTTTTAAAATAATTATTTAGAAATTAAAAATCATTAATAAGCATGCTATGCTTTCATTTAAATATTTTTAATAATTATCAAAATATTTAAAAATAACAATAATAATTATTAGTAGATGAATTATTTTTCTCCTTGAATAAAAGTAATTTATTTTAAGAACTATTCTAATTAATAAAATTTGAAATATTTTTAGATTATGAATATTGACCATAAAAATAAAAAGAAAACTAACGATAAACATGTTTGATAAAATATGTCCATATTTGCATTATACATTTAAACATTAATTCTATACACACTTTACTAAATACCTAAATCTCTGCTTTTAGTATTCACAGCAACTTTGTAAAAATATTTACCATACACCTATATGCTTCTGGTCACAACAACTTATTACTAACAAGACAACAACATCAAAACTTTTTAATAGCACATCAATATCAAATTGGCCCTAAGTTAGTTTCTTTTTTATTTTTTATTTTCAGAATTATTTATTTTCCTATTTTATTTGTAGTTTCCCGTTTGGAGCAGTTTAATATATAAAAATGTTAGTCCTATCATATGTAAAGGAAATAATTTTTATGAGTAAAACTTGAGTGTTGACACTTTATTTTTCCAATTTTCAGCATTCTTTATGAATCAACAAATTTTGATGTCAATTTCTGGTGTTCTGCGTGAATTAATGGATTTTGAAGCGATTTCTATGGTGTAATGTGTGAATCAACATACCAACTGATCTATTCCTTTATTTTATTGTTTCATTTTTTTCCTTTAATCAAGCTTCTGTAACATCAGTTTGGTATTAGAGCCAAGTTTCGGTATTCTGGCGCATTGGCCTCGCTCCAAATCTAACATAAGATTGAGTAGAAGATAGGAACAAGATCACCAGCTGATGCAGTGTGAAGATTATGTTTATGATTTTTTAGTTTGAATTTTAAAAGTTAGGATTATCTTTATGTTTTGTTTCCTGGATTATTTATTTATTGTGGTTAGGATTTGTTATTTAAATCCCCTAGATTATCTCTATATTTTAGTTATAATTTGTTATTTAGATTCCTTAGATTATCTCTCTTTATAGCGGTTAGGCTTTATTATATGTTATTTGGTTAGGATTTGCTGCAGCCTAGTTATAGGCCAGATCCCGTTGTAATTTGGACAGTTTTGCATTAATCAATAAAATCGGTGAGATTTTTCTCCAATTTGTTGCATCAGCAACCCAATTAAAACGTAAGAAAGAAATGAGAAAAGGGATAAGATGAAAAGAAGAAGAAAAATGTTACGATCACTTTTATGTATAGTACCTACTATTTAGTGTAGTTTTCTCTACTTAATATCAGGATTGCCTCATCTTTTTGCCGTTATTTGTAACCTAACAAATAACAAAAGAAAAACAAAAACGAAAAAAAATGTTGGGAATAGATATACGAGAGTGAGAAAAAAGAAAAGATACTGATACAGCGTGAAGATTATGTTTATGATTTTTTATTTTGAATTTTAAAAGTTAGGGTTATCTTTATGCTCTGTTCCCTAGATTATCTCTTTATTGTGGTTGGGACTTGTTGTTTAAGGCCCCGTTCATTTCGTTGATTCGAGTTTTGTTACAGTAAAAAACTCTTATAAATAATCACATCTAACTTTTTTGCTACAGTAAAAAACTCTCACATAAAATCACATCTCAACTCGAATTAAAAATTCGAATCAGCGAACTAAACGGGCCCTAAATCTCCTAGATTATCTCTTTATTGTGGTTAGGATTTTTTATTTGTTATTTGGTAGCGCAGCTATATAGTTATAGGTCTGATCACGTTGTAATTTGGTCAGTTTTTCATTAATCAATAAAATCGTGAGATTTTTCTTCAACTTGCTGCATAAATTGGTATCAGAACCGAAAGGTTCCTATGCCAAATATCATGATGTCACCTGATCGCCTGTGATTTCGAGTCAATTTTTAATTCCGAGCCAATTTTTTATGAAATTGATTATGAAGAGGAAGATCAATTTGTTAATTTCGATCTTAGTCCAATTTTTTATGAGAGCAATGATGAAGGTGACGATCAACAAAATAATTGTGCACCAATATTTGATGAAATTGAAGAAGAAGGCCAAAATATTATTTTTGGTCCAATTTTCGATGAAGTCAATGAGGAAACAGAAGATTGTGTATCAATTTCTAGTGCAATCATCATCGTTGAAAAAAGTTTTTCGTGGCATCATTTTAACAAGATCGAAAAATCATTTGCTTCATAATTGGGTCATTCGAAATTCTCAAAAAAAGATTGTTCTCTTTTTATACAATTAGAGGCTGCTTCGAATTTGAGGACGAATTCTTTCCACCTCGAAGAGAATGATGCATGTGGTATAATTGGAAGTATTTTTAAAATTGTGATAGTCATTATCTAAATTTCAAATTATTATTAGATATACTTTGAATTTAAAATTATGTTGATTAGATATTCATGTTTAGGCTTCGTGATTTTAGGAGGCAGTTATCCTTATAATATCTATTTTAGTTGTTTCAAATTTTAAATTTAATTAGCTCATTAGTTTTACTATTTAAAGCTTATTTGTACTATTTTTGTAACTGTTGAGAATTGTATCCTGAAAACATAAGGTGTAATTAAGGATTTTATTATTTAAT